GATTATGGGATATATTATTCAATATCAATGAGTATAATAATAACTCGAGTCAATGGCGTACACTAGATCTTGCTCTGGGGGGAGGTTTAACAAAAATAATCGTTATATTTTTTTTTTTCATTGCACAGATAAATATGATAAATAAATGCTATAAATAGATATTATTTTATACAACTTTTTTACCAATTTACAGTTTACTTTTACATTACAGTAAATTAATAGCTATTAGAATATAAAAAAATCATAGTTAATAAAACTTTTCAATCACCTATCAATATAATTATTTAATTATCATAATATTTGTATAGTTGTATATTTAAGTTCAAAGCGTAATAATGAAACTACGAATATAATACACGTCATCAATAATAAAACAATTTTTTTTTTTTTGGCACTGGGGGGGGTGGGTCCCCCCCCCCCCCCCCCCGTATGTATGCCACTGACTCGAGTCGTATAAACTATTCTTCGAGTAGACGCATATTATTTTAACCAATGAAATATGATTACGAATTTCGATCGCCATACTCAACCGTATGACTTCCACTCGTATTCGCACTGCCGTATTTAGACATTTTGCACCCCAACGCAAAAAAAGAATTGGGCCTCTCTAAAGGTCTTACCCACGAAAAATATAGGAGATAAATAATCATGAATCTTTTAGATATTCTAAAATCAATGCTGTTTTTGTGTAGTAGGCACGCCACCACACGTTGCCCTCGATAACAACAAATTTGGAAACTAATATTAGGTATATTAATAATATTCTGGACCGTTGATAGCTACCTATATTGCTATAAATACATTAATAATATGTATTAATAAATTAAATACATTAACTTTAATTTATGATACTGTTATTAAAAACAAAAAAAATAATAATTTCAAAATAATTTTTAAAGTTCAATAATTCACAAGTGAGCAAATTTCCAATCACAAAATGTTGGCACCCCTAAAAAACTGGCGCTCGGGGCAGTTGTAGCCAGTGCCCCCCCCCCCTAAATGCAGCTTTGCATATATGCATATATACGCGTATATATATATATGTCGCATTACGATTGGATTTCGAACGGCAAGGACTCGATAGCGTTATTCGTTACAGATTGCCGAACTCGTTTGAATTTTTTTATGTGAGTTTCATTAACGGTAGCGGTGGTCAATTAACAGTCTTCCCCGTGGGTACGGAAATATTTCGGTCTCCGGTTATAGAGAGACGGAGAGACGAAAAAAAAAAAAAACAGCGACAAAATTTAAAAATTCGTTTATAGATACGTTGCCAACACGTGCACGTGTACGTGTGTACAGTTAAGACAATAATAACAATCGTGCCCCCCTGAAGTTTGGTTAAAATATTGCACACTGTTGCCTGCCTTGAATGTGCCTACGGGACAGGCTATCCTTGCTCGACGTTCCGGTCTGGCCGTGACGTACGCCTGACAGAAACATTATTAATACATCTCAGAATTATAAGCCACGTACTACCATCGATGTATTTTACATTTTTCTAGTCTTTATTTGTACCTATGTTGATTCCGGACATTTTCATGTTTTTTTATCGTTGCCCTAAATGCAATACACGAATTGCTTATTGTACGGAATGCTGGTGACCCTATATTATTATATTTATACATATTTACGTGCATACTACGGTCGTCTCGTCGGTAGACGGTATAGGTTTTTTATTTTTTACTATGGCGTTCATTGAGAATTTACAATCTGTACATTATATACAATAAGTAAATATGAAGTGGTAAAAATAAATAATAAAAACGGCTTTGAATAATTTGAAGAAACACTCGCAGTCGAGTCACCTTTTACAATGACTAAAGGTAAAATGTATGAATAACATAAGTATATAATTATATTATAATATATAAACGGGCATAGCCGTTTTCGACCAAAAACATAACCTTCCCTTTTCGACCAAAACAAAAATTTATTTAATAAATTTAAAATAATAAAATAATGATGTACAATTTTTGTCAACAATTATTAAAATATTAATATAAAAGAGAACGATATTTTGTATCTAGTTTTGATTTCTTATCGTAATGAAAATTGTAAGCATTTTTTTTTTTCGAAGAATTGGAACTTTAATTTTAAAAATGTTAGGGCTTCGTCCCAAAGGGAATTATAGTCTAAGACTAACCTAGTTTTTATAAAACTTTGATACTGTTGCAAATGGGATTATGCTCTGTATGTGAACTTAAAATTTCGATACGCTAGTAAAACCCTGAATCGTCAATTCATCATGAATTCATCACACGTTCATCATCAAAAATTCATTTGAATCAATTATAGTAGTTTCCATCATAATCAAACATTGTAAATCATTATTTTATTATTTCAAATTTATTATATAAATTTTTGTTTTGGTCGAAAAGTGAATCGACGGAACTCGCCCATACATACTCGTATATATGTATAAAACTTACATAAATTTTTAATATACTGTGGTATTTAAATCACCGGTTTTTTTTTTTTTTTTTTTTAACATACTGCGGTACTTAATATTGTCTGTTTTAAATGCTTATTTTAATTAAAAACAATTTCGGCAAAACCGTCGGCCGAGGGCCGTTCCCGCTACCGAAATAAATTGGTGCAGAACACTATCAATAAAAATGTATTCATAATATTATGTCTAATAAGTATGAGCAACACGTCTTTGGACAACGATTTGAAATCAATCGGAAGTGATAATAAATTGTGATTATGAAATCGATGTACATATAACTAATAATAACCAATAATAACAATAATAATAATAATAATAATAATATTTTACCGAGGAAGTAGGATTTAATATTTCTCCTTCCGAAGCGTATTGTATCTATAACCATATGAACATTTACAATATTAGTCATTTTAATTATATATTGAAGAGGCGGTCAGAGGTCGTTTAAATAAATAATTGAAGTCTGTAGGAAACATCGATACGCCAGTATATTTTATACATTTTATTTTAATATATAACATTTTTTTTTTGTCCTTCCTAATATTTAATTCACTTTGGTTTACAATTAACATGGTGGGTACAACATAAATGTACATTTATTTTTATATTCAAATAATAATGATTTTAAAATGAAAAAAAAATGTACATTTGACGTAGTAATAAGAGTGCACATACTTAATTTTAAACATAATATTTTGTAAATATTTTTACTGTTAATAAAATACTGGTTCCATTTCTTACGAAGAAAAATAGGTACGACGAAGTAATGACATGTCAACGAACATGCAACGAAATGTTGAATATGGAAAAAAGTAAAAGTTGACTGAGTCATTTTTGTAAACAAAAACAACACTTCTGGAAAAAACAAGCATTATGAACTGTTGATGTATTAAGGTTGGGTACAATAAGAATATATAAAAAAAAAATTAACTTTAATAAGAAATGCATTGAAGATCACTATCTGATGGCATTAACATAATTGTTATGATAAAGGCGATATAATGATAAGTTATAGCTCTTCAGAAGTTTAAAATGAACCATGTGTTTATTATACTTAGTAGTTAGTGTTATCATACAAGTACAAAGTTTTCGTACAGCAATATAATGTATATATTTGAAGACTATATACGATATAAAGTTATAATTTGGATCCATATTACTTAAGTTGTGTATTACAACAAGTTGTACTGTGAGTACAGGTACGTTTAAAATTTAAATTGAAATTGTTTGATAGTAAAATTAGATATATTCGAAGCGAACGATACATATATAATATTTATTATGGTCACGTTTTTTTCCCGTAGACCGCGAAAAATTAACGAGAAAATAACGTAAGAACGCAACACGAATGAACATTAGTATAACGTTCATGTTTTTATGCTAATTTTTTTTTAGGTTTTTTTGTTTTTTTTTTCTACCGCTTGTTGAGATAGATATTCACAGAAACGCCGAATAAGGCATGTGACTAGTCGTAGGCGCAAAAGCGAAAAACATATTTTACTAAATTGTAAATTGAAACGAATGCAACTCACTTGAACAACACGCATTTTGGTCAAAATATCTCGTGAGTGCGCGGATCAGAAAAAATTGACTGGTAACACGAGAACGTATGGTTGACCACCGGCAGCGCCGGCGAGAGGTTTTGCGGGGCCCGGGGCAGGTTCTTTTCACAGGGCCCTAGAATTTTTTCCCGTGAAGCCAAAAGCGTTTTTCTCGGTCACCCTAGTATTCATATGGCATATTTTTCTGTTTCACATTACTTGTGTAAAAATAACTCTTTCCCTAGCATGGATATTTTATTTTTTCTTCAAAGCATCAACAACGTATTATCGTTTATCAATATATAGTTATTATACTGGTTATTCAACAACGTAGGCACCTTCTTTTTTTCACTGAATCTGCAATACACTTACCACCTGGAATTTTCGATTATCAATGGTTCGAGGGGGGGGACAACGTAGGTACCTGTCGGACATGCCGTTGAGGTCAAAGATTAAAATGCCATACAAATTTTCGCAAAAAGGGGGGGGAGTGGATACTTGTTATTTAGCCGTGAAAACTAAGTTGTAGGCTTAGAAAAATCAATTAAAACCAACGAAAAGCGCGGAACCGGGGCCCTAGAAAGCTGATCTTACTGCAATCCCATTCTGCCCGCCGGTGCAGCAACGATACCGTGCGTTGTTATTGCCGGCAGCGACTTTTCTCAGTGGTCCACGGTTTTCTACCACACCGCCACATTTTAGGATCGGTCAACGCCATCGTTCATGTCAGACCTTATATGCTGTGAAGGGGGGGGGATTTCATAAATTTTCAGGTGACTAAGTTGTATAGCGGCATGCCGTAGGAGCATAGGCGGATATTGGGGGTGACTCGGGGGGCTTAAGCCTCTCCTGAACGTAATCAAACTACACCAGACGTCAAAATATATTGTGTATTATAATATTTGATATTTATGATACTTATTGATACTTTGTTTGCTCTCAGGTTCCCGTTAACCGGGACACCGGAAGGTTTGCCGTTAGAAAAAGCGAAATCGAATTGGACTTACACGTGTTCCTGGTCCGAGGATCGGCTATCCTGCCGTCGAACAGATGTCGGCCCAGCACGGCCCCGGGGTCCAGGCTCTGTCGCCTGTTCGCCCCGTAACTGCGGCGCCTGCCGGACGCGCCACGGTTCGCGGCCACGGCACTGTAACTGGCCCTGCGGGCATCGCCCTTGGCCGCGGGCGCATACGAGAGCCCGAACACGCTAAACAAGCTCCTCATGGCGGCGCTCGACTGGTCCCGGTCGGCTTTGGTCCCGGAGGGACGACCCTTGGTCGCGGGTGCGCGCGAAAAGATGTCCGACGGCTTACTCGCGAGCGTCCGGACCGCGGTGCATGGCCAGTGGTCGGAAACGGTAGCGGTCTGCGATCGGCGGCGCGGGACGGCGGTCAGAGGGTGCCGTGTACGAGAAGAAACGGACGGTAACGATCGTTGCACGTGTCGTGCGTGAGCACAGCGTTTGTTGTATACGTTCGTCGTGGAACGCCAATGTGGGTAAACACACTGGTTTGCGATTAATAATCTTGAGCATGCCGGGCCGGCGAGGATTGCGCGTGTTTACGCGCGCGTGTGCGCGCGCTCGTCGGGAGGACGACGACGACGACGGAACTCCCACTATCTCCGGTGACGACCGGAACCCCTTCTCGAAAACCGTACGGAATAAACGTAAAAATGTATAACAAAAAAGATGTGGCGCGTGGTTAGTGTTCGTTTCGTTTTTTTTTTTTTCTCCCGACAATTTCACGAAGGTCTTGGACACCGGAGGTCGCGCGACAACGACCGTGTTAGCACAAAATCGGAACGCCGCCGTTGTAATGCCGTCGCCAGCTCACGCGCGTTTCATAATCCGAACCGCGTGCAACTGGATACGCCCGACCTAGGGGAGGTTACTCGGACGTCAGTCCGGTGGGAACCGTTCGATGTTGAATTATTTAATTGTTTACTCCATGTCGTGTCCTTCGCCGTATCGTCCCGGCCGCGGATTCTTCTACACGTGTAAAATAATATTTCTTCGAAACGTATACAATATCATTATAATATTAATATTTCGTTTCGTTCGTGGTCTATTTTATTAAACCTCATTTTCAATAGATAATTAATTTCGATGTTAAGCTAAACTTGTATGTTAATATTGATTATGTACAGTGTGTCTTTTGACAACCCACGAGGTCCGTTTAGATTAAGTTGCGATGGTAATAATATTATTATTACAGCGCTAATTGTTATCATCGATCTCGATCTGATCCGCTAAAGATAATACGTACGAACGGATCGACGGCGTTTCGCAGTGACGGCGAGTACTACTAAAAACATTTTCATACCAATCACGACCATCAACCGGTTAAATAACGTATTCAACTGTGGAGTAATAAGATACTTACTAACCTACACCGAACACGGAAAACATCCAGACGCTTTTTGAAAATTTAAAATTTAATCCGTTTTTTTTTTTTCATATCGAAATGTAATATTTGGTGAACGCCCTTTTAACCAAACACTTTTTTTTTTTTTTAATACATCCTGCGTGTATTCTCACAAGTATGATTGTTTTTTTTTTTTTTCATTTCGGTAGCTCGTAAAAACCGTATGCATGTACCGGATACCTCAATATATTCTTATACATCATTGTGCTATTTGTTGTTAGCGTCTAATTACGTAAAATCTGGTTTTACTAACGGAATTCCTAAACATTTACAAACGCATCATGATATTCATACAATATTATTACGTTACATTCAATTTGTTTGGATCGCGTCGAAGGTCTTTTTTTACGGATACATGTATCCGATGCATCGTATCGACGACCTACTCGCCTCTTCCCCGCCATCGCGGCGGACAGGTTTTGTCGTCTACAGCGGCGCGGCGTCAGTTTGATCGGACTCATCGCGACCCCCGTCGAACCGACGAAAATCGGACGACCGTTTACGCAACGGTTGTAATTAACAACGTGTACGGTTTTACGACGATTATATCATTATCAACTCGCGAATCGGGTAAACGCAATTTTAATATCAGTCAAAGCGTATTATTACAGAAATCTCCGTCGAATATTTACAACGTTTGTCGCCCACAAGGTAAAGTTTCGTTTGCACGTGGTACGATACTATTTCAAAATGTGCGGGATGATAAATTGACAGTATATTATTCGAAGGTGCGGTTTGTTTCTGTTGAGTTACTATCGCCGTCTCCTCGCGCACTTTTTCGATTAGTAATAATATTAATAATAATAATTAGCGTTGTGGTGAAAAACCGGCACGAGATTATAAACGAACACGCAAATATACGCGTGCAATACGGAATATGACGATTTTTTAGAGTATCATCTACGTGTTTACACACACCACGCGTTTGATTAACGTTATTAGCGTTTAAACGATATATCGGCACGGTTCACGGGATCGAAATATAATACGGAATACTATAACGATGCACGTCTACAAGTTGTCACACCATAGGCACAATTAGGGGGGCGCAATAGGGCTTTTAGCACCCCTGAGTTCAATTGTAGCACTTATGGTTTTTTTTTCAGATCTATATAGTCTATAGTAGTTACCGTAAAATACCACATAATATGTAATATAATAAAATTACAGTAAATACAATTTTATTTCTAGCAATTTCAACATCCCCAATATTTGGGCTTTGATTGCGACACACGCGTTACATAAACGCCTATTATACCAAAACCTTTTAGATCTCGTACACGGGAACGCAACACGCGCTATCGTTGATGAACGGTTGGCGCGTGCGTACGGGCGCGTTGCACGGCGAACACGTTGTGCGGTGGGAACTCGTAAACAATGCTAATAAACACTATTTATAATCAACGCTTGTACTGGAAATGGAATAAACGGTGACCCGACCGTAATGCTAATACGATTGTTGTACGTTGTTTGTTAATCGACACGGTCCGGCTGTACTAGCGGAGACTTGAATCGTTATTGTTCGTAATCATGACGGTTGAATATCAGACGTAGTCGCGTCGTGTCGACAGTATCGGAATGGAATCCGCACGACGCCCTACATCGGTAATTCAATCCGCGCATCATGAAGTTGTTTATTTATGTCGATGTGTTATCGTTGTCGTACCGAAAATCAACGCAGATCGAAACGGGATGGAGGGGGGGGAGGAAACGAACAACTGCAACTGATCGAACTCGAACGAAATCTCATCGTGATCTTTGAGTATACCGCTCGGATCGACATGAACGATATCGTTCGAAACGCTTTGGAAACGTGCGCACATCCGCAGTGCTAACGATCGACGAAAAAAAAGGAGGGCTTTACCGAAGACGATTGGTTTTCGGAAATTTTTCGCGTGGACCATCGAAAGTTAGAACAGAAACTAGGCTTGACCGCAACAGTGTTATATAACGCGCAATAATGTGTCTTTGTAAAACAGTCGTGTCGCGATCGCTTTGAAGCCAACACACATAGGGTCATTGAAATCACCAACATGATTATAGATTTGTTTTGCTGAGGCCGAGATTTAATAACACATGCTTCATAGTACCGATAAGAATCGTTATTATTTGAATTGATAAGCACGGATTACTATTACGATACAACCGGTCATGTTTAAACATAATTCGCTGGTTGAACTACAAGGTTTTATTGGAATTAAAAAAACAAATAAAAATGCATGCAGATACAACAGGACACATCTAGATGAACTTAACCTCGGTGTACGCAAACGTAATAATATATGATGTATTATTACTAATTATTTGAACGCGAAGATTATTGCGTTCGAACAATGGAAATAATAAAACTTGGACGATTTAATACAATACCGTTCAATACGTTCTGGTATAGCAAGAAGCATGACTACATTTTTATGTCTGACCACCACAGCATGCCTTATTATATGCATAATGATATCTTCATTATTATTAATATCATAAATCAAAATAACATTAGAAATATATTGGAATGATTAACATCTAAAAAGTATACAGTAAATCTGTTTTAAAATCGATAAAGGCTTTTGAACGGTTACTTTTCGTAAGCGAGTTTCTTCTAGAACGAAATGTAAAAAATATATCTTGGAAATACGAATGCAAGTTGAATTACATTATTTTATGTGTAATACGATTACGTCTAATACATGATGGGAGTAAATGTAATCTTATAAATAAAACTGATATTTTTTGAAAGCGTTAATTTAATTCATTTCATAATTTATTTTTATACAAAAATCTTAAGTCCAATGACTAGGACTCGATTCATTAAACGTTTGAAAACAATTAAATTTATATACATGCATATTTAATATAAATTTTTTATTTTATTTTATTGGAATAATAAATATATTTAACTATATGCACTAGAAAAAAATCTTAAACATGCAGTGTAGTATGGAATTAATTTTTTTTTTTGTATAATATACATATATATTTGTATGGGAATAAACAAAAAAATATAAAATTATATAAAAAAAAATTAAAATCGTAAAATTTCTATTTATATTAAGAATGGAAAAATAATTAATAGTAAAAAAATAATGCATTTGAGTATTTTTAACGACAAAAGTGACAGTTTTGGGTAAAAATAAATCTTATATTATTGAAAAAGTGTTAAAAAGACCGTCATAACAAATTTAAAATCAATTTTCAGTATGATATCATTATGAATCATTATATGCATTCATACGTTTAAAATCTTTAAACATCTAAAATCACATAAATTTAGTAAAATATGCTAAAATATGTAACGTACATTTTTATCAAAACGAATTTATATCGAATCAGATTTTGAATACGTACCATTCTAAGAAATATTTATAGCATAAAAAGGTTTACTAGAATATTAGAAAACATTCTTACGTGAGTTTGTCGTAAAAATGAAAAAAGATTGTCAGGCAAAAGTTTTATTCGGATTAAAAGTTTTGATTTAGATTATACTATTAGAGAAGATTCGCCAAATGCATTAGAAATAATAAAATCATTTCAAATAGATATTTAAGTTTGTATTACTACGTATACATTTTTATCAGATTGTTGATAGTTGCGAAACCTTACAACATTAACTTATAACATTATTGATAAAATTAATTAAAATACTCGTTTGTAAATAGCTTTAACATATTTACGCAAGTATATAATATATAATTTTATAATTATATATTAGCTTACGTAAAATAATAAAAGATGAATTGTATAGATTTATGTTAAACACGTTTGATAGAGGAAAACTAATGTTCAGATATTTTAACTGATTATTTTCAGTGAATCTTGTACCGATTAATTTTACAATATTTTTTTTTATTTTTTTTTTTTAATGCCATGCCATTTCATAGCGGTCATTGTTTGTGGTAAAACGAAAAAAGTTCGATTTTCATTTCCGCAAAATCAGTTTTTCCATCTATTTTATTGAGATTGAGTCTGAGAACCCTAGTCTATCTGCAGTGCTATCGATCATCGATATATGTCGGAATTCGGGATAAAAAATTTGATATTGAGGATATAATTGATTTCATAGGTAGTAATTTCTACCTAATATGAATAAATATAAATCGATCTAATTTATATCACGTTACATTTCACAAACTCATTTTGATGGTCATAATATTTTTTATAAATAAGTAACTGAATTGTATTTAAAAAAAATCTCATGCAAAGCTATAAAT